ATGGGCCTTGGTTATAATGAGCGGAGCTAGCCAAACATTAGGCACAAGAAAACTGTTCGACCTAGCTAGTCCATACTTGTACTCGGGCTGGACTTCTGCTCAGGCTTAGTGCCTGGGGGTGACCCATTTTTGGTCCAATCTGAAATTATCCAATGGGAGGACAAGAAAGAAATGCACAGATGATAAAATATATATTAGACCCATGTTCTTGAAACCAAAGAAGGTTATACTTTTAAGAGCTTTTCTTTCCAGCCTCTGTTCATGGGGCAAGCTTTAGCTAAAGCTATGTTGGTTTTAAGGAAAATGTAGGGAAAGGTAAGGAAACCTTTACAAATCTTGTATAGGTTTCCCTACCTTTTCCTTCAAACCAAACATAGCCTGAAGGATCCAATAGCTGGTTGCTTGTTGGACTGATACAGATTGGAGAAGTTAATTCAATGTCAATCTACAGAGTCCACTACGTACATTGTCCAGATTAAGGAAAGCAATGTTCTGGTCGAGCCAAACTTATACTTGGGCCAACAACTGATTAAGGGCCTTCATTGGTCCTCCAGATGAATCTAATGAGACCAAACCATTTTCCGAGTTGAGCTCATGTATGTATATAGTTGCTCATGTATATACATTTGGCAAAAGGTCGATTAAGTAAATAGGTTGTAGGGGGATGTTTTAGTAAAATGAAAACTATGATTCAGTTTGGAAGCAGTATAAATGCAAATATATACAGCATAAATACATACAAAATATAAGGTTTTGCACTCTACATATTTGCATTTGTACTCCTTCCAAACTCCGCATAAAAGATAGGTTTAAGTAAATACGTGAAGCTATAAAGGGTGAATGGGTGATCTAATAAATTATCCTATATATATTCTAAAGCCCAGTTTGCTCAATGCTCGGGTTGAGTAAATCAGGAGGATATAGGCTGGCCCAGCCCAAAATAAACTTGTAAGATGATTAAGGTACTACAACATATGAACGCCAGTGAGGAAAAAAAATGTGTGACAAGACATATAACGTGAAAGGATATTTTGGGTCATGTGTAATTACGAAGGAGTATAAAATATTTTACAGTGTAGTAATGTGTATTATTTACTATGATAGGTTTTATACAAAAAGAAAAGAATTCTGGGGATTTAACCAAAATATGATTGGACTTCTAATACAAAGGGTGTTAAGCCTGTATCTGGACTCTGGATTAAGACAAAATACAGAAAAGGGAGTAGGGTGGGGGGTTCTGTGCCCCAATTAGTATCCAGACTTCCCCATTTGGACGTTGCCTCCAAAAAGCGATACCATCCAGAATTCAGGAAGCAGTGGGACTAAGACCATGAGTTGAGAATTTGAAAGCAAAAGGCCTGTGTTGGACGCTTGGACCTATAATCCTTCATCTTGGAACACAATGTATTCTTTCAACCCAACCCTGCAGCCTACAATCACTGGCCTTTACATAAAAACCGAGGCCCAGGCCCAGTTGCCTGGCAAGCCAACCCAGCCTTGCCTGAGGCCCGTGATCCTGGAGTCAAGTTTGACACAGGCAACCCCCCCTCCCCCTTGTCCTTAACTTGTGTGTGAAGTTTAGAATGTATTTCCCTCTTTTGGGTTGTCGTCCGTTTAGTATAGAATTGAGTTCGAATGTAACCTGTTGGGTAGCTTTTTGTGGGAACCAAGGAATATCAAGCCACCTTGTCACCACAACTTTGAATCTAGCTTCATTCTCTAAAACTTTGTAAAAGTCCTAGCACTTGAGATTGTCGCTCGGCATCACTCCCATTGCGCAGACGCACTAGGGCTGTACCAGTATGAGTGTGTATGTCCTGCTTGCGTCTGTGGGCCTTAGTGGAGTTTTCTTTCTTTCTTTTTTGTTTTTTCATAATACACATTACGGGGGATTCATACAATGAGATGGATGGATTGGATTTGGATCCAAAGGTTTGACCATTAGATCGGATGCAAATGTAACTAGATCCAATCCGTTTGCAGCCTTACGACCACTGAATCATTGGCGTGGTGTTGTTAAGTTGGTCACTTTTTTTTTTGAAAAATATATTATACTTTTACTCTCAATTATTAATTCCACATCCCATTAATCTCTCACTTGTGAGTCTCATACATTTTATGATTGGTTCCACAATCCATTTTGGCATTCCTTATTTTAAGGATTCATCTCCTTAAAAACTCAGTATTCATAAGGGCATTTTACAGCAAAAATAAGATAAATCCTTAAAATAAGGAATGCCAGAATGCAGCTTAAACTGTTATTCAGTTAATCCAAATTAATTCGGAGGTGGATCTCTCACTCACAGGATGGCCGTACGACTTCCAAGTTTATTTTATTGAATTAACGTTACCAAAATCAAGTCCAAATTACATTTAGGCCCAAGCCCAACTCAATTTCCTGAATTCCTGGTGCAACCCATCCAAAACACAACGGTTGGGTTAAATCAGGTCAGTGGCTGGCACTTCCCGACCACGTAGGCTTGATCATTTCTGCCCGGCTCAAAAATTTTTAGGCACAAACATATATTATCAAGCCTGGGGTAAGGAACAAGCCGGGTGCAGGTAGCCCTAATTGCCGTTACTACCAAGTAAAATACTCACTCCGGCCCATTCGAATTTACATTCTGTGGACCATTTGGTCCACCTACTACATGGACCCTGCAATAAAATTGTACTATGTCATTCATTTCTTTTCATTTCAAAACTATGAATCCGGATCTCCTGCCCACGTCTACCTACAACACACTACCCCCCCGTGAATTGGGAACATCTCCCACTGCATAATACTATATAGGAGGATGAGATTTTCTCCATGTGTGGCTGTGATATTATGTGGATAGACATGGACAGAGTTTTTGTGGGCAGGAGATTCAGACTCCAAAACTAATGAGAAATTGGAATTTAGCGCCTGTGATCAATCCCCGTCTCTCTCGAACTTGTATCTGCTCCTCACACATGGTGCCTCACACTGACCTCACAGGCACATCCCACCATGCATTGAGAACATTTCCCATACTTATGTATTATTATCCACCGTAGTAGTACCACCAAGTAGACCGCCCAACTCATTCTCATCTATTCCCCTCTCTTCTACTCTCTATTCCCATGTTTTCCCCTTATGATGTGTTTGGTTGTAGCACAAATAAATTTGCATTGATGCAAAATTGTGGTAGTGCAAATGATTTGAAATGCAAATTCTAATTTATTTTTGTTTCAAAATTTATCTCATTTTGTTTGATTAATTGGAGTACAAATGAAATAAAATTAAACCAAAATTTGCATTATTTTCATTTGCACCCTCATACATTTATACTAGTGCAAATAAGATTGTACTCCAAGTAAACGCAGCCTAAGAATACTATACAAATACATACAAAATAATATAAAATAGTTTGTGCTCTACATATTTGTATTTGTACTCCTTCCAAATGGAGCCTGATTCACAAAAGGAAAGAGAATGAAAAAAAAGATAGGAGGGTAAAGAAACAGAACGAGTTGCAGTCCACACATAATGCAGAATTAAAATAGAAAAGGCATTGAGTCTGGACTTGAACATGTGAACTGTCATTGTGAATATCTCCCCAGAAATAAAAAACATACAAAGACAGATATTCTCAATGTACAGCTGCAAGCGGTTACGAGAATAGTGTGAGGATGGTTTTGTGAAGATCAAATACGAATTAATTTAAAAGGTGGGTAAAAAAAATGTGAACTCAGCCCATCCCATGTAGGCACTAACATAGTGAAAAAGCACGTTCAAATTAGCACCTATAGCAAAAGGATAATTTCATTCTGATTCTGTTATCACAGAAGGGCTGTAAAGTGTAATTTGATAAGGAGGATTGAACTTGAAGCTTTAGAGCTGGGTTTTCTATTTTACTTGGGAAATTAACTAAATTAGGTTGAATTTCTGATTGAATAATTGACTTTAGATTTAGATTGGGATCCACATAAATCTAAGTGTACCTTTGTGGTTATACCCAATCAAAGCGCAGGTCAAAAGATGATCATCTTCTTCATTTCCCATATATCCAATCCCATGAATCTCCTTCAATTCCCTCTTTTTTTTCATGGTTAGAGCCACTACATGAACCAGTTTGCATCTCTACCGCCAAAGTTCTCTCTCTCTCTCTCTCTCTCTCCTCTGCATAAAAAGAGTATAGGAAGGGTAAGGGTAGATTAGATACGAACCAGAACTGCAGTTTTCACACAAAGCGGCTACGTACTCTCAAGTTCGAACGGCATTCACACTTGTCAGCTACCAGTACAGAGCAAGCAATGGCCCCCTTCCTCTCTTCTGCAACTACACTGAAAAGCATGATAGTTGTTGCATGAAGGAAAGCTTTTATATTCGACTGGGATAGATGAATTCGACTCATTAGGTATACTGCAATGATTCTCAGGTAACTGGCAGATCTGCATTCAACATACTCACTCACAGAATAAAATATTTGGTGTAATAAAGCAACAAATTAAATCATTCATTTCAACCACTTATAACCCATTTTGGAAGGAACCTCATCAGAATCAGAAATCTTTGGACTGGGTTTTCTTTAACCAACTTTAAAAAACAAAAGAAAAAAAAAAAGAACATTTGATTTGTGCTTAAAGAATATGAACTACCCTCTGACTTTAATTCAGAAAACAAAAACACTACTTTTAGATATGTACAGTAGTGCTCAAATCACTCTCAAATGTATTTTAATTTAACCCCTTTCTTTTTCTGAAAGAGAGGCAGCTTTAGTAGCGGGAGATGGACGCCATGTTATGTTGGTGTCACAACACACACATACACACTCAAGCAAGCGCCATACACAGATTACTTGGGGAGGAAGGTTAGAATCTTCAGTTTTAATCTGTCGTTAGGTCCGTGTCCCATCCATCGTCACATAGTTCGGTGATCCAATGAATTCTCGTACAGTACCTTCTACTTGTGTCTTATCTCTTATGCATTGAAACTGAAACAGATACAGGGGGAGAGAGGCCCACTGACTGTTCAGATCGCGTTTATTGAATCATCAATCTGTTTGTAGAAATGTGTAGAAGTAGAACTTCCTTTCACCACTATCTTGTACTGGGGACAGAGGGAGACCCACTTTTCAGAAGAAGCAGGACCTGACTTAAAGCAGACGTGTCTCATCTTCGTAAGCCAACCAAAAAGGTCCAAGAGAAGAGGCCGAGACCGAGAGCCACAACTTTTTATATACAATACAATTGAACTGATCAATTAATCCATGGAAGCCATAGCAACTCTCTTCATCCATCTCCCAAGCAGCACTAAACTAAACATGTTCTCACTTTCAGACATGCCTTCAGTGTCAACAATGCTATCAGCCTACGCCTCCTTGGCCGCTTCCACCATGCTCATTCGGTCGATGGCCAACGAGTTCATACCCCATCAGCTCCAAGACTACATTTTCTCGGGCCTCCGCTACCTCTTCTCCCCTCGGCTTTCTCAGCTCACGCTCATCTTCGAAGAATTCAGTGGGATCACCCGCAATCAAGTCTATGAGGCGGCCGAGTTGTACCTCAGCACCAAGATCACCCCCTCGATCGAACGTCTAAAGGTGTGCAAGGCCCCCAGAGAAAAGAACCTCACCATCACAATAGAGAAAGGCGAAGAGGTCGTGGATGCCTTCGAAGGAGTTGAGCTCAAATGGAAATTCGTTTGCTCTGATAACGAGAGGACTGGCAGCACAGAGCGATACTTTGAGCTCAGATTCAACAAGAAATACAGAGAAAAGGTGCTGGATTTTTACTTGCCATTTGTGTTAAGCAAATCGAAGGCACTCAAGGAGGGTAAAAAGGTAGTAAAGCTTCATACTCTCGGCTTCTTCTACGACGACATGGGAGGAGGCGGAGGCGGAGGTGTATGGGGATCAATCAATCTCGATCACCCAGCTACGTTCAACACGCTGGCGATGGATCCTGAGCTCAAGAAGGCATTGATAGATGATCTGGACAGGTTCGTGAAGCGGAGGGACTTCTATAAGAAGGTGGGGAAAGCTTGGAAACGTGGGTATCTGTTATACGGCCCTCCTGGTACCGGCAAGTCTAGCTTGATTGCTGCCATGGCCAACTACCTGAATTTTGACATCTACGACCTGGAGCTTTCCCAACTCCGGCATGATTCGGAACTCAGGAGGCTGCTGGTTGCCACGGCAAATCGATCCATACTTGTGATTGAGGATATCGATTGCAGTGTTCAATTGCGTGATCGACAGCTCGAGGTTGGATGTGACGTTTCAAGTGAACAGGTTAGTAGTTTCTGAGATAGATAGATGGTTTCGACGTGGTGCAGTATAAAAAGCTATTTGTTTTCTTTGGTGTTTAGTTGACTCTTTCAGGGATACTCAACTTCATAGATGGGCTATGGTCGAGCTGTGGAGATGAGCGGATTATTGTCTTCACCACCAACCACAAGGATCGGCTAGACCCTGCACTGTTGCGCCCTGGTCGTATGGACATGCACATTCATATGTCCTACTGCACTCCTAAAGGGTTCAAGCTTCTAGCTTCCAACTACCATGGCATACACGATCACCCTCTACATGGAGAGATTGAAGAGCTGATAGAGAAGACAGAGGTCACCCCTGCAGAGTTGGCAGAGGAGCTAATGAAGAGTGACCAAGCAGACACTGCCATGGCTGGAGTAATCAATTTCCTAAAGCGAAAGAAAATGGAAAATGATATGGTCAAGGATGAGCAAGGAAAAGAAGCTGATTGTCGAGACCAAAAAAGGCAGAAAATCGGCAAGGGAGATGGGCGGAACCGGAATGAACGTACAAGAAGGAGCACAAGACTCAGAAGGAATCGATGGAGGTGATGGAGCCGGGGAGAAGCATGGAGCTTTTCATTAATTTACTTACACCCGGCCCCTTAATTAAGAGGGTTTTGGGTTTACTTTTTAGTGGAGGAATTTCGGTGTAAGCTTGTCAAAACTAATTAAATTAATGGTATCTCAAGTTGAGGGTTTCCCATTAACTGCAAGCAGATGTATTGGGAATTTGGATGAGTTCAAACATGCATAGAAGAGAGGAAGTTGGTATCATATATAGTCAGACTCAGACTGAGAAACTGGCAAATGTAATGGAGGTATTGAATGGTGTCAAATGTGAGTTAAGAATCTGGACCAACCCACAACTATATTTTGAATTAATAGCAGACATATCAAACAGACAAACCATAAAAATATACATTACATATTGGTTGATAGAGTAAGCACTATGTGACGAAAAAGAAAAAAGGGCCATTGGTACATTATGCATGGTCCTTTCTTCCCTTTCCAAATCCCCATTTGTACTTGTTGGCTATTTACACTTTTCCATGAAGCTTGAAGCCTCTTTGGAAGGCAAGTGTTCCAATTGTACAGTAGATATGGTACAAATATAGATAAGCCTTATTCCAAAGCTCCTTCCTTCTAAATGAACAAGTAATGAGTAATGACATGGTTGATTTGAAATGATGTGTTGATTTCAAAAGGTCCGTGGATTGATGCTAATTCTAATTCTACGGACAGAATGCGCGGTTTATAGGGGTTATTAGTAGATTATGGGGGCTATAATTTCAGAATTCTGCATTGCATTGGGCTGCAATGTAATTCTATCTTTTTCATAAAAAAGGGGGTTAAATCACTTGTATTGTAACTGGAAAGAAAAAGATGTAAAATGAACGAGTGATGTAGGTTCCTTAGATGGGCCTTGTTTGAAACAATACAAACAATGTTTTCACTCTGTTTTTTGTTTTGTTTGATTGAAACGCATATAAAAAGAATGAAGTAAGTCAAACATGAGAAAAAAGTGAATCAGTTTGGAGTCATTAGGTTTGATTGATTTGACCAAAACCAAGCACAAACTTGGTTTTGGGTAAAGTGGCACCGAATCAGATTTCCCAAATTTTCTAGGGAGGATGACTGTTTAGCCCACCACTTCTTAGCCCCACCCTACAGGTAGAATGAATCCTCACTCACTGTAGATTAATGCCAAATACATGGACAGGATGTGGTTTATAAAGGGGGCTACTAATAGACTATGGGGATTGTAATTTTAAAATTTTGCAGTGGGCTGTAATTTACTCCTCCGAATTTTCTAACCCACGTGCCAGTCCTTCCCAACTCCCTATACCCATAAGCCCATATGGCCCATATCGCCCAACCTAGCTTCAGTCTTTAATCAAATAAACACATCCGTGCCTATATCATCCTTATGGATGGAGGCAATACAATTGCTGCTGGGGATTTTCATAGCGTGGATTATTCATTAGTCATATATTTTCTGGTTGCTGAAAAGATGTCCAAGTAGGGTCAATTTTGGATGACACCGCCCTCTCTGGCTCATTTGCTCAACAAGAGATATAAGGAAATGGTAGTAAAGCTTCTTCATACACTTGGACCCTTATTGTATCACAACGATGGATCCTGAACTCAACAAGACATTGATAGACGATTTAGATAGCTTTGTGAAGAGGAGGGATTGTTAGCAGTGACGGCAAATTGGTCCAAACTTGTAATTGAGGATAGAGATTGCAGTATATACATGACTTCTTCTATAGGTTAACTGAATGTCAACAGGCATGCACCAAAACAATAAACGTAAACATGGAACATACCTGCAGAGCCCATTTCCATGAACCCCTTTTTCTCCCTTTGTCTTTTCGATGTCAAGCCAAAGTAGAACGTTCCAAAAGTTGGTTGATCAACTATTGAATTCACCCTCGTTTTGCCGCTTGGTATAGTGCTCCTTCTCCTTGTGGACTCGTTGAATATGGGCAGTTTGTAGTATTTTGCAAAGGTTTTGTATTCTTTCTTAATGAAATTTGCACTCACTTGTGCTAGATTAGAGAGACTAGAGCTAATTCTCCTTTTTTCATTATTTCCTTTCTTTTTTCCTAAAGAGGGTTCCGTAGTAAGAGTAAGAATGAATGAGAAATCTTTATCCACTTATTTTGTAGGTAATTCCCCCCATTAAGAAATTCCCTCTATAACAGTCTATTAGAATCAACCACATCCCTTGTTTGTTTAACTACTCCCCAGTTATCCTTATCCTCCTAAATTCAATTTTAAATTCAAAATTGAATAATGATAAGTGGGTTGAGAAATTTTAGGGCCTATAACTTTTACTCAACTAAAATGAGAGTCTTAGTAGGGAACCCCTATGACCACCGCGATGAGCTATGAATTTATGGGTCCTACACTCTAACAATCTCTCACTTGGCCCAAGTGTGATCAACAATGGAAGGACACAGCTTGATCAGAGCTCATGGTGATTCTCAATCTCACTTAGGTAATTACTTATTTAAACTCAAATCATGGCAGTTTTTCTTAAAAGTGGGGTTTCCATCCATGCATCATGATGTACACTTCTAACCCTCAATGTAGTGGATTATACATATATACCGGTCCTAATTGTGTTTTTATACCCGTCTATTGTAATAATATGCATGCATTAGATAGTTGCAAGACTACTAGAGCAGAAGAATCAATTATTGACATGTGTCATCATGTTGAGTCTATAAAAGAATTGATAATTCCCATGTTTTTAACATGACCTATAAACACATTTGAGGACAACCCCTTAGTTATCGGATCTGCAATCATAAGTTCAGTTCTTATATGTTTGATGATGATTTTCCATTCTTGCACTCTATCCCTCACTACTAAGTACTTTAAATCAATATATTTACTTTGACTACTACTTTTGTTGTTCTTTGAAAAGAACACACCTTCAGAATTGTCATAGAACAACTTTATCGGTTTATCCACATAGTCAAGCACTAAGGCACTCAGTCTTGTGATAAAATTCTTTAACCAAATTGCATGTGTCATGGCATCATGACATCTTATGAATTCTGCTTCCATCGTAGAGGATGCTCTAAGCTTTTGCTTAGTACTTTTCCATGACACAACTCCTCCCACAAGCAAAAATACATATCCTAACGTCAAGGCTTTACTATTGGTGCACCCAACGAAATATAAGTTCGTAAAAACCAACAACTCTAGTTTGTCTACTTTTGTATAAGCAAGCAAATAGTCCTTAGTTCCTTGTAAATATCTGAATGCCTTTTTGGCTGCTCTCCAGTGCTCACTTCATGGATTGCTTTGAAATCTACCCAACACTCCTATTGCGAAAGCAATATCTAGTCTTGTGCACATTTGTGCGTAAATGAGGTTCCCAATTGTAGATGCATAGGAACTTTCTCCATGTCTTCCTTTTCATATTGTGTTTGTTAGCGTATTCTATCAAAATTAGTTTCATTATCTCCTTCCTTCTAGGAGATAGCTGTACATACCTTATCTTCTCTTCTTTCCTTATTGTATCCTCTTTAGGTCACCAACCTTGTCTCCCTATTGTCTCCCTATTATAATTAGCTCTATTATAAATAGAGTTGTAGCCTATTTAATATACACATTAAGAGAAACTATTATCTTCTCCATCCATCCTTCTTGGTTCGTATCATGGTATCAAAGCTTGTGATACTTTATCGGATCCGTCCCTTCACTTGAGCTTCACCGGCGCCCTCTCATGAGTGCACACTGTCATTGCACCGGTTATCGTAGCACCTCGGGTTGAAGGCTAGCTCCCTCGCATAACCGCCCGTCGTGATTATCGTCCTGTACACGACTTCTGGTGCACGTAGAAAACTGAGTTCAATTCTTATTTGCTTCTTCTTCTTCAAGCCCGGAAGCAGGGTAATCTGAAGTTTGCCATCTGGAGCACGAAAGCTTGTCGATCCAACTTCGAGGATAATCACGAAAAGCGCCCAATTGTTATTCTCGTTTGTGTTTCGCAAGGGTCTTCCTGCTCCGTCGCCCGGTACAAAGGTAAACAGAGAACTGAACAAAAATGAGAGTCATAGTAGGGAACCCCTATGACCACAACGATGGGCTATGAATTTATGGGTCTCAAACTCTAACCGCTTCCGCATGCATTTAATTAACATGGGCCATTTGTTTTTGTATTGCAAGTGACTCTCTCATTGTTACAATCTGATCGTATGGATATGAACATCCACTTGTCCTACTGCACCGTTGAAGGGTTCAAACTTGTAGCCTCCAAGTTCTATGACAAACACGAAGAACACCCTCTATTTGATGAAGATATTAAAGGGTGGATACAGAACATAGAGGTCATTCCAATAGAGGTGGCCGAAGAGCTATTTGTTGGGAATAAACCCAATATTTTTCCTTGTGAAAATTAGGGATATCTGAACCAATAAACAACAAGTATGCAACAACAATAAAATAAATAACTAAAACAGAGCAACCAACAGTAATAGACACCAACTTTTACGTGGAAAACCCCTCAATGTGAGGGTCAAAACCACGGGACAAAAGTCTAAATCATCCACTATCAACAATGGTAATGGGGCACACTATTTTTTTATCTAGTTACAACTAGATGATGAACCTCAAGAAAACTCTTGGATACCAATAACAGAAACCATCATTAAAATAGATAACAAACAAGTAATTTCTCACCAAAAGTGGAAGTACAATAGTAGAAGCAAGAAGAGATGTTGAAAACAGATATGTTTTCTTCGTTTCAGCCCTTGTAACTCTTTTTCTTCTTCCCAAAAGTCTTCTTCCCTAAACTCCTTTTTCTGTTCTTTGATATTTTCTAGAGAGTTGTTAGAATTTGAGAGAGTAGACAGAGTGAAGTGAGCTCTCTCTAATTCGTTAGTTAGCCAAGGACGTGTTAGCTCGTCTTGCAAGTTAATGCAAAAAGTCTCTTGACTTTCCATTCCTATCTTTTTTGTCTTTTCTTCTTTTCTTTTCCCTACTTTATTAGTGGGTCCCACCTCATAAGGAGGGAACCCCAACACTATTGAAGAGCGACGACATTGACATTGCCCTCAATGGACTAATCAATTTTCTTAAGCAAAAGAAAATGGAAAATGACAAGGCCAAGGACGAGGAAAGAAAAGAAGTTTATTGTCCTAATGAAGACGAAGATGAAAATAACAAAGAAGCAGCAGCGAAAGGAGCACGAGAGGAAGAGGGCATGGACGGTTAGGGATCAGGGGAAGAGGGTTTGGGAGGCAGCCATGCATTTATCTCGATCATGGTTTTAAATTTCGCATTATTTCGATTTTTTTATTTCAGTAAAATTTAATTCAGATAGGGTGTTAAT